GTATTCAGTGTCCATTATGTGAACATCTGTCCAGAGATCTGGGAGACGGAAACTTTCCTATTTCCGATGTAGTTGTCAGTCCCTTTTCCTAGGTACGCACTCACAAGGGAAGGAAGTCGAAGAAAGGCGAAGAGCGAAGCGATTTACGATTCTACTTCATTAAACAATTAAAACTCTGCGATTCAGGCGTATGAAGAAGAGCGTACTATCACTGTGACGTTCTGCGTAAACATACGGTGGTCACACGGAAGAGCCTGCTTTTTTGAGACTTGACAAGGACTCGGAGAGCTATATCCTCAGCATGCTCAAAGAGGGATTCACTTTCAACCAAATTCTGAGGAAGTTGAGAGCTGAATGTAGGAATCAGGAGAGAAATAGCCTACTGTACAACACTACAGCACAGGATAAGGTGAGTGTAACTACAGTAAGAGGAATTGTTTTCTGAAAGCTCCTGTTTCAGGAACATAGCCAGACGGCACAACATGGAGCCCGGAAAAAGCATGCCCTCGATCTGGAGTCAGTTGAAATTAGAGTGAACGAGGCTTCCGAAGAAGATGGATTCGGCCTTACCTTCGTGCCACCGACGAGTCTGAAGATGGGTTTGGGATGGGTATGAATGTCTCGTAGTTAAAGCCCATTCATGTCTCATTATATTGATTTCAGTGATAATAACTCCTGTGCAAAAGTCGTGGTTGGCCAAGTATAGCCGACGTGGTATATCAGTAGACGATACATTCAATTTAACAAGGTATTCTCTACGCCTTGCCACAGTAATTGTGGCAGATGAATGGAAATTGGGGCTGCCCGGTGCATACCTTTTATCGCACAGGTATCTTCATTTGTGCTGGTACCTTTGTGAACGCAATTGTGCTCTTTTAGGATGACTGAAAATGAGGTCTTCGAACTATTCGATGTTATTAAAGAGAACATGCCCGATTTTGACCCTAAGCTATTCATAACGGATGAACCAATAGTTTCTATAATGGATTTCTGCGGGTTTTTCCGAACTCCGGTGCTTTGAAGCTTCTTTGTTGCTTCCACGTTCTTCAGAAAATAAAGCTTAACTGCGAATCGAAACTTGTTGAAGTGAGTCGGGATTTCTAAATAGATATATACCATTAATTTCTGTTCCGATGGTCCTTTCAAAAGAAACGTACCGATATGATAGTCGACAGAGTGCGTTCGCTTTGTCGCCTGTCTGATCACGGAGATTTCGCTAACCAGTACGCCTCGTTCCTGACATATCTGCAGCAGCAGAACACCAGTTTTGAACGTACACGGAGGAACCTGGTACCTTCTTTTACTCCAACCCACGTGTAAGTAGGCCATATTCACGTAGTTGTAGGAGTCACAGAGTCGAGCAATGGTTATAATTCGCGAGAGGTAATGCTTGTATGAACACGTCGATGCTCGGAGAACGCTTTCATAAAAGGCTGAAACATGAACTGCCAGATGCTAAACCCAACATGCGCATCGATCGCGTTCTAGAGATAATCATTTCCCTCACTTCTGAGATGAACGAGGACCGCCATTAAGGTGGTAGAGTTGCCCTCTGGATTCGACTATCTCGAAAAGCCAACATTTTCTCTTTTTAGATGAAAGAGGCTTGTTCGAGGGGCGATATCGCCTTCGACAGCAACATCGTCAGCACGAGAAAGCAGTCAAATGGTTCCGAAAAAAACAGGAGGATGTCCAGGTGGAGGGGAGCGGGCAGTGGAAAGTGACTGAAGGAGGGGCGATCTACAATGTGTGCCAGTTGGAGTGTCCTTGCGATCCAGAGGCGAGGAAAGTAGCAATGTGAAATTCATTTCAAAGAAGTGCAGGTAATTTAATTGAACAACCACTGCACAAGGGGCGCTCGCCAAGCATGTGGGTATGGTTTTCGGTGCGACTGTGAGGAAAACGTGTTGTCTGGCATCTCCTGCCATCATGTGCACGCTAGTTTGATTTATGCTCCCCCAGGCTAGTGTTGTGACCTTCACGAATATAGGTCAGTCTGCTCTTAACTCTTATTTTTCAGGTAAAAAGACAGAGATAACCAATCCAGAAGGACGCCCCGACTTGACGAGTCACGATACAGTCGAATCGCATGAAGTATTTGAGCCCTCAGAACAATCTCGTGTTCAAGAAAAGAGACTTTCACAGACCGGGATTATTGACTCGAACAACAATTTCACCCATGAAAGTAATTCTATAAGATCGTTTCGATACCTATCAAATTTAAACCACTATTGAGTCAAGGTATTTGCAAACCTACGCAGTAATTCGTCATAATACGCTAAAAGTCACGAAGATTCCGGATTTGGAAGTCAATGCTTGTTTCGAAGATGTACTCGATTCTATGAGAGATGTCAGACGTCGGACTGATGACATTGTTAAGAAGAAGTGTCCGAGTCAGACAAAACAAATTGTTAAACGTGCAGAACTCCCACACAGCGGAGGTGTGCGTCGTTATTCTCCAATTTGTAAACTACAACCGGTTAGTTTCTTAAAGGCAGTTGGCACGATGATTGGGTGCTCGCCTAAAATGCTAGTAGGGCGCTATATAGTGGGGAAATGGCGAAAGAACGGAGTGAAACGGTCAAAATCCTGCGAAAAAGAGCCTCCGTTAGTAATCAATTTTGGACGAGTTTCCCGTAGGCATCTTGCCAATAACCGCTACCGAAGGTACGGCTGCATATGTGTACTCATATATCCATGCAGCATCACGCCGCTTCATACCAATGCCTTCGCTTCATAATTTGCTTAGCAAATGAATCAATTAGAGCGTCTGGAACAGTCGTCCATTTGTGGGCGGGCGGGCAAGGGGGCGTTTGGGACGTAAAGTTGTGGCTTGATAGCGCCCTTATAAGGGCACCTTCCCTGGAAAAGGCATTATGCAGCGCCTGCTCAGGGTCGCGGAATTCCGTCCTGCCAGGCGTATTAGTCCTGCTCGTCTTGGAGGATTTATCGTGCCAACTGCCTTTACACGCATGGTTTGAAAGCAATTGAGTCTCGTTTCTTGCAGAGGTCGTCTCAGAAGAAGAAGCAAGATACACAGAAAGAGCAGAAAACGCTTCCTTCATATGCTCAAGACGATGTGAACTTTTGCGCGGTCTGCTTACGGCGAGACCCAAAAAAACCCTACTGACAAGGAGAATACCCTGTGGTCAAAGTGCGACGTTTGCGGAAGACGGGCACATGAAGACTGCTGTCAGGAGGGCTCTAAGTGCCCATTCGATGATGGTGCCAGCGAAATCGATGCGCATTTATTGAATTCGCCCAACCGCCGAACCGCGGCGGTTCGGCGAAACTAGCGGTTGGCGATTCTCCGATCGATGACTATTTTTTGCTTTTCTCCCAACCGCCGTTTCGTCAGGGTCGCAGACTGTGAACAGTGCCTCACTACCGACTGACCATCCGTTCGATCCACATACACTGCGTCTAAGGACAGCTTGAACCCAATCCCTTCGGTCGGATCGATCTTCTGTTTTTTTGCACTCTCTCGTCTGCATGGCGCTATGTGGTTTTTGTGACTTCACACATTCGGGCATTTCACGGATTATAAGTGGCTCACCTCCCCCGGAGTCTCCTCCCGCTGGTTTTGGCTTGATTAAGCCATTTCTTATTCAATCATTCCTCTATTCGGGGGGGGGGGCTTTTCACAAAGTGTGTTGCTTTTTTTCTTCACGGATATCAGAACATAATCTTTGTTTGCTGGTCGTATTAACATAATTATTTGCCATTTCTATGAATTTTTTGCTATTCTTTCGCTATTCCGGGTATTTATCTGATTGCTGCGCATTTGTGTTCATTTCTGCTTGGCTTCGTTTTCATTACTGTGACACTGTGTCCCTTTCGACTTTGGGAGACTTTGTGACACGGTTCTGAAGACTGAAGCCGTTTTCACACCCCTGTTCCCCAAGCTGCCCCTAAATTGTTCCGTTTGGTGAGTATTTGTTTTTTGTTTATTCTTTTTTTGTATGATGCATTCTTCATTATTATGCCACTGTTGTGTTCTGTTTTACGCCAAGAGCACAGTTCAGCATGGTTTTGAAGCTTGTGTTCCGTTTGAATGAGTAGTTTTTTTGTTTGTTCTTTTTTTGTATGACCCCTTATTCATCACTATGCTATGTACTGTTGTGTTTCTTTTCGTAAGGAAAGCACAGTTTGGCACGGTTCTGAAATTTGGATTCCTTTTGAAACAGCTCATGGACCAGATTTCAGGTCCGCTTCAGTGCCCGCCATTTGTACCAGCTGATGAGTTCTTTGAATTATTTTTTGTTTTCCCTTTTTTTGTATGGCTCACACTTCATTACTGTGCCATTGCTGTATTCCTTTTCGTGAGGAGAGCACACTTTGGCACGGTTTTGAAAGTTGTTGTCCTTCTGAATGATCTTCTTTCAAGATTAGCGCTAGTGGCCTCTATTTCACCTGGTCCATGAGTTTTTTTGCTTATTTCTTGTTTGTTCTTTCTTTACATGGTCTTCATTACTCTGCGGTTGCTGTGTTCTTTTCATGGGGATAACACACTTTGGTACGGTTTTGAAGTTCGTAGTATTCTTGAAAAGGCTTTTTCCAAGATGTGCGCGAATAGCCATCAATTGCCAGCTTCCGCGACGTCTTGTATTCGCTTATTTTTTGTTTGCTCTCTTCTTGTATGGCTCACACTTCATTACTGTGCCATTGCTGTGTTCCTTTTTATGAGGAGAACGTACTTTGGCAAGGTTTTGAAGCTTGCGGTCCTTTTGAATCAGCTCTTTTTCGAGGTTTGTTCTATTGTTCGTCAATTGTGCTGGTCGGTGAGTTTTTTGGTTTATTTTCTCTTTGTTCTTTTTTTGTATGACCCTTCCTCATCGCTGTGCCATTATTGCATTTCTTTTAATAAGGAGAACACACTTTGGCACGGTTTTGAAGGCCCTGTTGAGCGAGCTTTTTTCAAGGTTAGCGCTAGTGGCCTCTGCTTTCCCCATATCCGTGAATGTTTTCGCTTATTTTTTGCTTGTTCTTTTTGTTCTTTTTTATATAGCTCATACTTCATTATTGCGCCTGTATTGTGTTCCCTTTCATGAGGAGAACACAGTTTGACGCTGTTGAGAGTTGAGTTAGAACATGCTTCGTGCCGTGGCATTGGATCGAGCTATTTCACGATCCGAATTCATTTCCAAGCCAAACGTTTGGGAAGAACTCCCATAACTTCATTGAGAGTGGAGCTTTTGATGAAGGGAAAGCAGGGCTGTGGGGCACTGGGTTGACACTTATTAACTAAGTTTGAAGGCACGGTCCGCGGTGAAAAGCCTAGGTGATGTTGCAGAAATGTGGAAGAAAATTTGCCAAGTGAACCATCTATGAAGAGAAAATGCCAAAGGGAACGTTGGAAACGCATTCGCCTCCTCTAGCCTCAAACAACTGTAGAGGTAAAAGACCGAAAAGACCGCGCGCTGGGACGATTCCCGTCGGCTGATTCCCAGTAATGAACCTTATGACTTTACAAGAGACATTGAATGCATCCACTCCATGATACACGCGAAGTCTGGAGGCGGAGTCACTGGAAAAAGGGATGTACCACTGAAGCAACTTTGCGCCTTAATTCCTTTACCGTACAACTTTCCGCCGCGAAACTGGCACAGGGTTGTCCACTCCGGACCGCACTACCTTCCCACATAACCTCTTGCATTTTCATAGGTCATCGCGGACCGTTCCTCCTTAGAGGCACCGAATTCTGTCTTGCTAGGCGCATTTATCCTACACGCCTTGTGGAGATTTATCCAGCCCGTTGTGTTCAACCGGCACATTGAGAGTGTTTTTGTGAGCACCGCCTGTACTAGCTGTGTCAGCTACGACCTAGTGTAGTCTTGCGATCACAAACAGCGAATGGTCCTATTTGTTGTGTGAGCAGGGCACGCCATCGCGTTGTGATCATTTTCTGAAAATTACGACCCCCCCCTAATTCCATACTAAAATACGACCCCCTTTTTGGGAGTTGGTACGACCCCCCTCCCAGCCCTCTGTCCTTCCTCATCGAACCGAGCCGTCGAGCGGGGGGGGGGGGAGGTCGTCAGAATTAAACTATCATTCAAGTGTCGGAAATAGTAGTGCGACTGACTAAATACGACCCCCCTCACAAATGATGATCACAACGATGGCGTACCCTGTGTGTGAGCACGGCAACTGCGTGATGCGAAGATTGTTGTGCTTGTCCTTCGCTCTACGTT